GGGGGAGGGGGGAGCCTTCCGTGCCAGGGCAGGAAGCGTGCACACTCACAGCGCCACTTGTGTGAACGCAAATGGAGCGTGTGGGCATGTGCTTGCCCGCCGCTCGTGCAAGTGGGGATGGGTGTGCGTGCCCCCACATGCTCAGACGCTGCGTCCACGGCCCAGTTCCAAACGGCTCTCCACCCAGTAGTGGGCCAGGGCCCCGGGGGGGGGGGGGTTGGGGACCCTTGGGCTGGAAGACCTCCAAGGTCCCTCCCAGCTCTCTTCCGACTGATGGATTGATCAGCCGGGCAGCTCAGCCCTTTGCCCCAACCTGTGCCCTGAGCTCCTGGCATTTGCATTTGTGGTGTGTGTGTGTGTGTGTGTGTGAATCCTCCCTGGCCAGACAAGGAACAGAGTTGGCAGAAAGCAGGGAAAATCTGCCTCTCCCGGGAAAAGAGGAGGCCGGCTGGAAAAACGCGTCTCCGCTGGCATCAAAGCAGCCGGCAGCCGAAGCCTCGTCTGGCCACGGGCAGTGGAATAAAATCCACCCTTGCATCTGGCCAGCTGNCTGGCTCAGCTTGGAAACCTCTCCCTTTCCCCTCAGCGTGCCTGGCTGAGGAATTCTGGGAGTTGAAGTCCACCAGTCATAAAAGAGCCCAGGTTCCCCACCCCTGGTCTAGGGTCTCTTGCCTGAGCAGGGGGTTGGACTAGAACAGGGGTCCCCAACCTGCAGTCCACAGCTCACTACCGGGCCATGGCTTGCTGGCCACCGGGCCACAGAACAGGCTGGCCAGTGCGCGCACATATGTGCTTGCACTCACCCCAACTCATGCTAGTGCCGCTATGCAAATGGGGTACTTCACGGCGCAAAAATGGCTCTGTGATACACTAAAACGGGGTGCTGCATGGTGTGAAAATGGGGCGGTGCTAATGACTGTCACACGGGTGCTTGCACTGCCCCCGTTTGCGTCGTGTGTGCACACGTGCATGCGTAAAATGCTTCCCCCTCCCTTTCCCTCCGGTCCGAGAAAGGTTGGCAACCTCTGAACTAGACGACCTCCCAGGTCCCTTCCGACTCGGTTGGTTGGTTGGTTGTGTAGTAAAACATCTGAAGGAAAACAGCCACGCTCAGAGCACCCCAAAGACCCCCTGAGTTGACCTGTTCTTTGGAGACCCTTCCCTGGACACCCTTTGCTTCCGGCTTCCCCAAAGCTTTGAGCCGGACCCATGCAGGACTCGGCTATTTCCATGAAGCCAGTCTGGGCAGCCCCCCCCCAAGACCGGCCCCTCCAGAGGACCCCCTGCTCCTCTCCAAGGGAGGGTGCCCGGCCTTTCAGTTGGGGGGCAGCCTGGAAATGGGAGGTGGGCCGGTGGGGAAAAGGCAGAGAGCTGGGGGAGGGAGGGGGCGCGGTTCAGTCGGGCTTGAGACTGCAAACTCCTCGCAGACGGAGGGTCCAAGCGTTCCCCCCCCAGAGCCACTTTCAGCCCGGACCCCTCTTTGGCCAGCCTGGGGGTCTCTGGCCTGCTCTCCCACCCCCCCACAAATGCCCACAGGTGGTCCGGCCTGAGCAGCTGCCTCAGAAAATCAGTGGGACCCTTTGCTTTTAATCTGAGCAAGGGCGCACACACACACATACAAACACACACACACACACACACACACACAACCTGATCGTCTTGCTTTTATGAGAGTTGCTGGCGCTGTTTTGAAGGCAGCCTTGAAAGCCGCCGCATCGAAGTACGAGATACGACCACAAAAAGGCCACAGGAAACGTGCGGCGTAAAAATAGCTCCCCTGCGCTATCTGGGGGGATGTTTGTGTGCACAAGTCACAGACACAAAAACGGCCTAGAGCAGGGGTAGGCAACCTTGCTGGCTCAGGAATTCTGGGAGTTGAAGTCCAGGAGTCATAAAAGAGCCAAGGTGGCCTACCCCTGGCCCGGGGGGGGAGAGATAGGAGCCTCCCTTGCTTCCTGGGGGGGGCAGGAGGGACAGGGCCACCAAGGTGACTGGGGTCAGCCCCTCCATGCCACACACCCGGCCAGCCAGACAGAAGGCAGGGAGGAAGCCGCCCAGGGCAGAGCTCAGCCAAGGCCTTCGCTGGCCACCCCCCCAGACCGGACCCTCGGCCACCCCTGGCCTCTGTGAGGGAGGAGGCAGGCCAGGCGCGTGCAGGGGCTCTGGGCCTGCCCCTTGGCTTCCACTGACCAGCAGGCTGCGCTCCAGCACCTTGGCCTGGAGGGTCCCAGCCTGGGCTGTGGGGGGACGGCCACGCGAGTGGTGGGAGCCCCTTCCGCTCTCTGGGAGGGGGTCCGGCCCCCCTGAGCCCAGCGTCCAGAGGGGGGCAGAGTGGGCAGGGGAGGGTCAGCAGCATCGGGAGAAACTCATGGACAGAGTCTCCCCAAAACAGGCAGGGGGGAGACGGGGGCATTCAGTGACGAGCGGGGACCCCCTCTGAGATGGTCGGGACCAGGAGACTCTGGGTGGGGCTGTGAAGGAGGCAGCCTTAGGATACCGGCAGTCCTCGACTTTACGACCACTTGTTTAGTGACGGTCAGTTGTTCAACAGCACTGAAAAATGCGACTTGGGGCTGTACATTCTGGACCGTTGTAGCATCCCTGCTGTCACGCGATCAGAATTCAGACGCCTGGCACCTGACTCATACTTACGACGGGGTCCCTTTTGCGACCATCTGACTGTCAGAGTCAATGGAGAAGTCGGATTCACTTAACAGCCGTGTAACTAACTTAAGGACTGCAATGAGTCACTTTACAACGGTGGCAGGAAAGGACATAAACTGAGGCAAAACTCACTTAACCGGTGTCTCGCTTAGCGACAGAAAATTGGGGCTCTGCCTTGGTCGTAAGTCGAGGACCCCCTGTATTGTAAGGCGCTTGTCCCTTCTGAAGGAATTGGGGGGGGCTGGAGAAGGGGGCGCTGAGACCTGGGAAAGGGGGGTGTGGGGGCGTGGAAGGCCTGAGCTGGGAAAAGTGGGGGGGCTTTTCTCAGAAGGGGGGCAGAGACACATGGCAGAAGGGGGGCTTTCACGGCAATGCAAAAAAAGGGGTCGGGGCACCCCACTGCTCCGCTTTCAGGGGCTCCCACCGTCCTCAGTGCCCTCCAGAATCAGGAGGACTTGGGGTGAGGTGGAGGGCAGCCCAGCCCCACCCCTGTGCCAGCCATCCTCTTGGGGCTGAGGGGGGGGGTCTCGCCGTCCCCAGCAGGGTCCTGTTCTTGGGGGGAGAATAGGCTGGACCACTTGTGCTCCCTCCCATAGACAGGCCCCCACCGCAGGGCAAGGATTACTGTGGCGGGGGGGGAGGTTCCGTTGGGGGTCTCTGCATTGTCAACCAAGCATGGCCAGAAAGGGGGTCTCTGAGCTGGGCGGGGGCTCTTTCCCAGTCCCAGGGCTCCAGCCTTGCAGGTGGGCGCTGGGATGGGGGGACTGGCCCCCCTCTCTCTATCCTGGGGGGGGCATCTGCAGTTTTAGGGAGGAGGGGGCTTCCTGGGCCTCTGGGCTTGCCAGTGAGGAGTGTGGTGGTCCCATGGAGGGAGAAGGGCAGAGGGTCCGTTGAGTGGGGGTCTCCACCGCAGCCCTGAGGTGCTCTAACGGGGGGGGCAATGTCTCTCCCTCACCTCCCTCTCTCCTCTCCTTCTCCTTCCTTCTTTCCTTCCTTCCCTCTCTTCTGTCTTCTCGTCTCCTCTTCTTCCTTCCCTTTCTTCCTTTTATTTCTTCTTGTCTTTGCTCCTTCCTTCCTTCCTTCCCTTCCTTCCTTTCTTCTTTTCTCCTCTCCACTTCTTCCTTTCCTTTCTTTTTCCCTTCTTTCTTTCCTTCCTTCTATCTTCTCTTCTCTCCTTCCTTCCTTCTTCTCTCCTTCCTTTTCTTTTCTCTGTCCTTCCTCCTTGTCTCCTTTCCTTCCTTCCTTCCTTCCTTCCTTCTTTCCTTCCTTTCTTCTTTTCTCCTCTCTACTTTTTCCTTCCTTTTCTTCCTTTTATTTCTTCTTGTCTTTGCTCCTTCCTTCCCTTCCTTCCTTCCTTTCTTCTTTTCTCTTCTCCACTTATTCCTTTCCTTTCTTTTTCTCTTCTTTCCTTACTTCTATCTTCTCTTCTCTCCTTCCTTCCTTTCCTCCTTCTCTTCTTTCTTTCCTTCTATCTTCTTCCTTTCCTTCTTCTCTTCTTTCTTTTCTTTTCTGTCCTTCCTCCTTGTCTCCTTTCCTTCTTTCCTTCCTTTCTTCTTTTCTCCTCTCCTCTCCTTCCTTCCTTTTCTTCCTTTTATTTCTTCTTGACTTTGCTCCTTCCTTCCTTCCTTCCCTTCCTTCCTTTCTTCTTTTCTCCTCTCCACTTATTCCTTTTCTTTCCTTTCTTTTTCCCTTCTTTCCTTACTTCTATCTTCTCTTCTCTCTTTCCTTCCTTTCCTCCTTCTCTTCTTTCCTTACTTCTATCTTCTCTTTCCTTCGTTTCCTTCTTCTCTTCTTCCTTTTCTTTTCTCTTTGTCCTTCCTCCTTGTCTCCTTTCCTTCTTTCCTTCCTTCCTTCTTTCCTTCCTTCTTCTCTCCACTTCTTCATTTCCTTTCTTTTTCCCTTCTTTCCTTACTTCTATCTTCTCTTCTCTTCTTCCTTCCTTCCTTCTTTCCTTCCTTTCTTCTTTTCTTCTCTCCACTTTTTCCTTCCTTTTCTTCCTTTTATTTCTTCTTGTTTTGCTCCTTCCTTCCTTCCCTTCCTTTCTTTCTTCTTTTCTCCTTCTTTTCCTTTCCTTTCCTTTCTTTTTCCCTTCTTTCCTTACTTCTATCTTCTCTTCTCTCCTTCCTTCCTTCTTCTCTTCTTCCTTTTCTCTGACCTTCCTCCTTGTCTCCTTTCCTTCTTTCCTTCCTTCTTTCCTTCCTTCTTTTCTCCTCTCCTCTCCACTTCTTCCTTTCCTTTCCTTTCCTTCCTTCCTTCTTTTCTCCTCTCCACTTCTTCCTTTCCTTTCTCTTCTCCTTCCTCCCCCTCTCCCCCGCCCACCCCCACCCCCTCCGTAGGTCATTGCGGCCGACTGCAAGCGGGTGACGGTGCTGAAGTATTTCCTGGAGGCGCTGTGCGGCCAGGAGGAGCCCTTGCTGGCATTCAAGGGTGGAAAGTACGTGTCGGTGGCCCCCAGCCCAGACGCCCTGGGAAAGGAAGCAGCCGCCAGCCAGCAGGGAAAACAACTGGAGGATCAGGTAGTGGGCAGGAAGGGGGGGGCGCAGCAGGGGCGGGAGGGGGGGGCGGCCCGGCCTGCACACACACTCCCCCCCTCCCTTTGTAGTGGGGAGGGGGCTCTGCGTGGCGTCCCCCGAGTGCCGGTGCCCTTTCCTGCCAGTCCCACCCAAACGCTCCCCTTGGTAACTGCGATGAGTTCCAGATGCGCTCTGCAAATAGAGTTCGGGGAGGGGGGGGCAGAGCTTTAATAATGTGCAGCTCGGGCCCAGCAGGAAGGGGATGGGAGGGGGGGAGGGAGGGGGGGTTAGGGTTCAGGCCCAGGATCGAGTTTAGGGGGGAGCTGGAGAGCAGGGCTGCACAGCCACCTCCAGCACACGTACAGGAAGGGGGACGGGGTGCTTGGCTCCCCCCCTGGCCCCCACCACCACCAGCCCCCCCTCTCTCACATCCTGATGTGATTAAGGAATTTCTCCTCTTGTTTTCCTGCCCCGGCCTGTTCCTGTAGCCCGGGGTTCTCGGCAGGCCGCGTGTGAGTGTGTGTGTGTGTGTGCACACACACACAGGGAGGAAGCCTCCGCTCTTCCCCGTTCCTGCCAGCCAGCTGCAAGGCCCGGCCAGCCTTCTGGGGCAGAGGGGGGATCGTGCAGGGTCCCCGGGGTCCCCGTTCCCCCCCCATCTCCAGCCTTCTTCGCACACACGAGACGCTGGAGGGGGGCTCTGGACTCCCTGCCCCATGCGATCTGTGGGGGAGCTGGGGGCACAGAGGCAGGCGGCCCCTCCCCTCCCTTTAAGGGCCGGGGTCCCCTGACCGAACACCCCCCCCCCCCGAGTGTCCTGGCGGTTGCAGGACCTGCAGCCGGTTCCCATCCGCTGGGCGGAGAGGCTGGGCGGGCCGTTCATGTTCTCCTGTTGTGATGGTTGCCATGGCGCTCTTCCTTCATTCTCGCTTCCCCCCCACCCCACCCCACCCCGCCTGCTGGAAGGAGGACGACATCCAGATGGAGGCCTTGCCGGAGGACGCGGAGGCCAAGGCCGAGGGCAGCGGTGACGAGCTGGACATCAGGGAGCTGCGAGCCAAGAAGCAGGCGCTGGCCAGGAAGGTGGCCGAACAGCAGCGCCGGCAGGACAAGATCCAGGTTGGTGCAGCTCCTCCAGGGGGCGCTCCTCGGGGGGGGGAGCCCAGCCTTTCTCTCCCCCCCTCAGGAAGAGAGGGCAGGCCCCCACAGTGCCGTGTGTGGGGAGGCAGTCATGCACCCGTGTCCAGGGACCCCGTGATGCTGGGGCCCCGGTCGTGCCTACCTCTTTTGAAGGCTGGCGGGCAGGGGTCGCCCTGAGCAGCTGCCCACCCACCCACCCACCCATGCCCCTTGGGTGCCCAGCGTGGTCCGCGCAAAGACCGGCCAGCCTGCCGGACTCTCCAGCCCAGCCTGGGACATCGTGAGGGACGTGTCCTCCGGAGCATCCCTGGGCTTGGAGCCGAGCGGCACGTCCCACCCGTGGGCTCCCAGCTGGCCCCTCGGCCCTGCCGGCCCACCGATTCCCGACAGCCGCGGGAGAATCCCCTCCCTCCCTCCCTCCTCCCCTCCCCCTCAGCTGTGCCCAGGGCCCTCCTGCCTCCATAAGTCTTCCTTCCCCAGCCTTGAACCCCAGCCAAACACATCTGTCTAGCCATATGCGTGAACTCTGGAGTCTGTGCCGAAGCAGTTGTAAAACAGGACCGCCAAAGGGCCGACTGGGAGAGCGTGCACATGTGTACCCGCCGGCTGTTGGCTGCTGGCCCAGAACCCCCACCCCTCGGCTCCCCAGGCCCACCGCTGCCTGCTGCAGCCGCCCTGCGAGAGCCCCCCCACCCGCCAGGACAGCGCCGGGGCCCTGGGGCAGGGGGGAAAGGAAGAGAGGGGAAAAGACAGTGATAGGGGGGGTCGCACCCCTTCCCCGGTCTCATACCAGCAGTGACCCCAGTCCTGCAAGGCCCAGGGAGATTGCTGGGCCTGGGGAGGCAGTGGTGCAAAGACGCCCCCTCCCCTTGCCAGCTCAGCTCAGCCTTTCTGCCCCCAGAGGGGCTTCGCGGGGATTTGCACCAAGGCCGGAGGGAGGTCCTTCTCGGCCTGGACCTCTGTTGGGGCCGGCAGGAAAGGAGGCTGTCCTGCCCCGGGGTGACCGGGCATCCAGTCTGCGGGAAAGGGGGGGGTCTTTGGCCACCCAGGGGAGGGCAGTCAGTGGGGCGTCGGGGTTCAGGCACAGCACTGGGAATGGTGGAGGACCCGGCTGCAGAGGCTGCCCAGACTGCCTGGCGGTGGAGATGCAGCAAAACTTCCGGAGCAAAACTCCCACCTGAAGCACAGCGTAGGCCTCCCCCCCCCTCTCTCTCTCTCTCGGCAGCCCCATTCTTTTCTGGGCATGGCAGCCGGGCAGCCCCTCCCCAGGGATCTCCAGCGGCAGCAGCAGCAGCAGCAGCCGGGCTGGGAGAGGCTGCCTGTGGCTAAATTTAGCCCCGTCCGGCCCTCCTTTCGCGCTGGGAAACAATGGCCAAGCGCCCGCGCACGGCCGTGCACCTGCCAGCAGCGGAAGGGCACCCCCGCCCAGCGGCTCCACCACGCTGGGGCAGACGAGTCCTACTGGGCAGCGGACACGTCCCGGGCGGCTGCCCGCCGGTCTCCTCCCGGCCTCCCAGGGGAAGGGGAAGGGGAAGGAGTCAGCTGGGCCCCACCTGCTCGCGGGGCTCCACACAGGCCCTGCGGCTCCTGCCCCCTTGGCGGGGGGCTAGTCCTGTCCTTGTGCCCTGGCCGGCCGCTGCCAAGGCAAAACGGCCCCCTCCCGAGGCCGGCTTCCTTGTGGCGGGGGAGGGAGACTTGGCACCGGCCCACCACGGCTGCTCGCATCCTGTCGTCCTCTCTTTGGCCAGCCCAGGGGAGCCGAGGGGACGTGACGGCCGGCACAGAGCTGCTTCAGCGCCTGGAGCCCGGCAGACGGGCCAAGAGCCTTGGAAGGGCACGGGGCACGAGGGCAGGGCAGCCAGCTGGCCCTGGGTTGGGCACGTGGGGCTGAAGGCCAATGGCCACCATGGCACGCTGGCTTGGAAGGGTCTTCATCTAGCCCACTGCCCTGGCCAGGACAGGAATGCTCCGGCTAGCTCAGAGGAATGGCTGTCTAGCCACGAGACCTCTGGCTTAATAATGGTTTAAGACGCCATCTGGTTTAATGGTTTTATAGGCCATCTAGGATAGACTAATAACTTTATTGTCACTCTGAATGTGCCCTAACCGGCATATGTTTTTAATATGTTGTGAGCCGCCCTGAGTCCCGTCAGGAGAAGGGCGGGATATAAATCAAAATAAATAAATAAATAAAAATAAATAAATACATGCGAATGAAATTTCGTTGCACACGCCTCTCACCTCCGATATACACGACATAAATAGGACAAAAATAAATAAATAAAATACAGGTATGCCTATACCCACGTATATTATATGACCCAGAGTAACAACAGTCTAGTTCAGGGGTAGGGCAACCTCGGCTCTTTTATGACTCATGGACTTCAACTCCCAGAATTCCTGAGTCAGCTGTGCTGACTCAGGAATTCTGGGAGTTGAAGTCCATGAGTCATAAAAGAGCCGAGGTTACCTACCCCTGGTCTAGTTCACGTTATGCATCCGTGTGCAAGGTGAAAGAAAGAAATCTTGCGAGTTTACCAGACGGAGGGCGTAGGGAACAAAGCTACCTGATAAGGGTTTGAGCGGGGGTTGGACTAGAAGACCTCCAAGGTCCCTTCCAGCTCTGTTATTTTGTGATATGCATTCTGTTATATGGTTTAATAAGCCATTTAATTAAACCTCCGGTTTAATAATAGTTTAATAGGCCACCTGGTAATGGTTTAATAGGCCAGAATGACGCAGAAGGCCAGAATCCCGGTGGGAGCATCCTGGGCCGTTGGTTGCGAGGCCAGAATCCCACAGGGACACAGACAGGCAGGATATTTTGGGAGGGGGGGCAGGGGATTCCCCCAGGTGTCTCAGGCAGCCCCTCCAGTGATCGTTTGGGGCTGTAAACACTGAGGGAGCCGCCCTGCGGAAGAAGGGTGAAATAAGTTGGGGCTTTGTAGTCACCGTGAGTTTGTGGGGAGGGGGGGCACAGAGGGAGGCTCAGCCAATTTCACTGTATACATGTTATACTTTGATAATAAAGGGTTATTATTATTATTATTATTATTATTATTATTATTATTATTATTATTAAGCGGCCGGCAGTCTGGTCTACCTCGCAGGCCGTGATGGGGAGGGGGGCTGCTGGGGGCACCAACCCTGATCTCCACTGCCAGGGAATTCCCAGCCCAACTCAGAGGGAGGGTCTTGGGGGGGGGCTTCACAGGAGTAAGAGCGAGCACATCAAGCAGGAGCCCCTTCCAAACACAGTCATAGAATCCTAAGGCTGGAAGGGACCTTAGAGGTCATCTAGTCCAGCCCAAGAGTCCTTATATCAGGGCTATCCGACCCTGACCTCTTTACCCTACCCTGGCTGGGGAATTCTGGGAGTTGAAGTCCACAAGTCTTAAAAGTTCCCAAGGTTGGGCAACCCTGCTCTCTATCATCCCGGACAAATTATTCCCTGATCTTGTCTTATAATAATAATAATAATGATAATGATAATGATAATGATAATGATAAAGTTGGAAGGGACCTTGGAGGTCATCTAGTCCAACCCCCTGCTCAGGCAGGAAACCCTATACCATTTCAGGCAAATGGCTGTCCAGTTTCTTCTTAAAGACTTCCAGTGTTGGAGCATTCGCCGCTTCTGGAGGCAAGGAGTTCCATTGGTTAATTGTTCTGTCAGGAAGTTTCTCCTTAGTTCCAGGTTGCTTCTCTCCTTGATGAGTTTCCATCCGTTGCTTCTTGTCCTGCCTTCGGGCGCTTTGGAGAAGAGCTTGAAAAAACCTCTGGTGATTTTAGGAAGGGCGGGGCAGGTCCGTATTCCCCTCCAAATTCTGGAGCACTACGGCTCCCATCGTGCCCAGCCAGTTCTTGCCCAGTCTGGATAAGGGTGCCGTTGCTGCTGCTCCAGCCTCCGTGTGTTGTTGGCTCCTCCCTGCCTCGCCCGTTCCTGGGGAGACCAGCATGGCTAACCTGCCCTCCCTCCCCCCACCCCACCCCCCGAACCCGGGGCTCTTGCAGGCGGTGCTGAAGGACCAGGCCCAGCTGAGGCAGATGGAGCTGGAGATCCGCCCCGTCTTCCTCGTCCCGGACACCAACGGCTTCATCGACCACCTGGGCAGCCTGGCCCAGCTGCTGGAGTGCAGGCAGTTCATCCTGGTGGTGCCCCTGATTGGTGAGTTGGGGGGGGGAGGTAGATGCCCTGTTTTTCCCACAGTCCGCCGGGCACGGAACGCACCCCGAAGGCCTGCCGGAATAAACGGGGTTCTTTCAAAGACGTTGCAGCCCCTTCACCAAATCTTCCACCTGGTGCTGCCCTCCAGCTGCGCCACCTCGGTCCAGCCCTCCCTACTTCCCCCCCCCCACTGGCCAGGGCTGTGGAGTCGGTAGATAAATGTTCCGACTCCGACTCCTCAGTTTTTTGTACTTCCGACTCCGACTCCGACTCCCCGACTCCGACTCCTCTGTATTAATATGCAAATGTATTTTATACATTCCATGCACATGAAAAGCATGCTTCTTCACGGTCACTTAACGTGTTCGTTTTGCGGTTACGTGAGGCACTGCA